TTGTCAAGGTGAACGCCGAGGTCGCGCAGAAGATGCTGAGGGGAGGAGACAGTCGCCGCTTTTGACTGTTACTTCCTGTACTTGCTGCTGGGGAGAGAAAGTCAGAACATGGCTCTTGGTGGCGTTCAAGATGAGGCCTCGGGACTTCAGCCCACCGGCCAGAGCAGTTGCCGCTGTGGTGAGGGTTCTGGACGCTTCCGCCGCTGAGGCCTGGGAGTCGAACAGGGCTATGTCATCTGCAAATTGTACACTTGGCACAGGCGAGGAAACCAAAGGGACATCTCGTGTGTATATACTGAAGAGGACAGGGCCGAGAACAGAGCCTTGGGGCACTCCGCAGGTGCAAGCCAGAGCAGGGCTGGTTGAAGGCGAGATGAGGATCTGCTGCTTGCGGCCGGACAAGTAGTCGACGAACCAACTAAGGGCTTTTCCAGACATTCCAACCGCAAGGAGGTCTTGAATTAACTTGTCGTGGTGCACTTTATCAAAAGCCTTCGACATGTCTAGTAGGCACAGCCCTGTGGTCTTGCCACTGTCTCTCGCCTTCCGCAGATTATCAGTCAGCACACAGAGGGCGTCTTCCATGGAACATTTCTTGCGGAAGGCAAATTGTGTTTCAGGTAATGCCTTGGTCAAGTCCAAATGACGAACTAACTGGTGTTGCACTACCCTCTCCAGCAACTTGGACACTATTGGGAGAAGGGATACAGGTCTATAGTTGGTGGGGACTGATGGGTCACCGGCCTTGTACAGTGGCACGACAGACGCCAATTTATATGCGGATGGAATGGTTCCAGTCCTCAGCGAGGTGCAGCACAGCAAGAGAATATGCAAGCAAGTCAGCACACTGCTGTAGCAGAGAGCCCGGTATGCCGTCACTACCCGTGGCTTTCCGCGCATCCAACTTCTCAAGGAGACGTCGGACGTCAGCAGGAGTCACAGGATCAAGTTCGGTCAAGGAGACGGGTCCAGCGGACCGTGCGGGGTACAGAGTTGTTCAGGACGGTTGGGATCGGTGACAATGGAGTGGAACGTGTCGGCCACCTCACTGATGCTACAACTAGGATCTTGGTGGCGACGTGAACGCCCAGGGACTGCATTTAGAATGGCCAAAGACTTCCGAGGGTTGGCCACATTTTCTTCGCACTGACGGGAGAAGTACTCGTTTCGCTCGCGCCGATACGTGTTCCGAGCAGTGCTACGTGCTTGTTTGAACTCTGCATACAGTGTGCCGTTTGTCCTATCCTTCCGCCAACGGCTGTGCAGCCGCCGTTTACGCTGTTTGAGCTGGTGCAGCTCTCTGTCAGACCAGGGAGGTATCGCCCTCCGGGAAGGCTTAGAGTTGTGCAGCGGAGCATGCTTGTCCAAAACGTACAGGAACTTAGTGTGCCACTCTTTCCACATGTGATTTACATCATTGTGATCCGAGAAATCATGTAGAGAAGCCTCAAGGATATCTTGCCGAAAAGAGTTAATGTCAATGCCACGTATATTCCTGGTCAGCCGCGACGTCGTGGATGACGCGGGTGGAACGTCAACGGCAAGCTGAATAAAGGCTTCCACAGCGCTGTGGTCACTAATATCAGTGGGCACAACCGCTGCTAGGGACACTAGCGCCGGGCTGGTCAATATGAGATCGATCATCGTGCCTTCAGGGCACTGTGGAGTTTCACGGGTCGGCTGCATGACGATGTTCTGGAGGCCAAACGCAGCACAGAGGTCGGTGAGGTGTTTGTGCTGGGGTGCCGGATGGGCTGGGTCCATATTTACATTAAAGTCTCCAACTAGGGTTACGGAAGAAGACTGCACAGCTGCTCGTACAATATCTGCTTCCAAATCTGCCCAGTAAGACACTGGCTCCCCCGGTGGCCGGTACACGCAACCAACCAGGTGCCGACCTGGTTTTCCGTTTATTTCTACCCGGCCTGTTTATGTAGATTCAGAATGCAGATCTGGGCGGGATCAAACTGGGAGATCTTGACGGTAGTAGAAGCAGACTCCGCCACCCAAGCGTTGAGTGCGGTCTTTTCGAATCAGATTGTACCCGTCAATACTGAGCTCTCCGTCTGCAATCTCGGGATCTAGCCATGTCTCTGATAGACCCAAAATGTCGTACTGACGCGTGCGGATGAGGCTGGCAATCTCTGGCAGTTTGTATCTTAAGCTGCATGCATTGAGCGTGGCTATTTTTATGCCAGACTGAGTCGGCGTAGATGCATGGGGGTATAAAAGGTGGTGCATGAGGATTGAGAGGGAGAGTCATAGTAGGGGCTAAAATGTTGATGCAGATAGATACAGACAAATGCGGAATAAAGTTAAGCCAATGAGACAGACAATGCAAGGCGCACAACCTCTAACAACTTACAAGCTGTCCCTTCGCCTGCTCCCGAGCTTTCGCTGTGGCATACTCCTCCGAAGCCTTGTGACGAGTTGACGAATGGCTTTGCTCTCCTCACTCTCAATCACCTGGTCTCCCTGCTTTGTAGCCGGAGTAATAACACGCGATGGGAACGTGTGTTTCCCACGAGCCAGCTGAAGCCTTGGTCATCGGGTGATGGGTGACCAGCTTTGCCTCTACTCATCGGGAACGCGGGTGTGGATGAAGATGTGGGGGCAGTCGCCTCGGTTCGAGCACTCGTGCAGGGAGTGTGAACTCCCAACGCATTGGCGTACGTCCAAGGTTGTGCATCAGGGACATGATCCTGTGCCTCATTGTTCACACTGCCTTCTTGTTGCTGTTTTGCTGGTGTTGGTAGCGCTGCCACTTCTTGGTTCTCCTGCCCCTGCCCAAGTGGTTCTTGGGGTGGTCCAAGCTCGCTTGTTGACGTTGCAGCTCCCGGACTGGGCTTGGTGCCCTGCTGCGAGATCGCCCTGCAATCCCGCGCCACGTGGCCGGGGGTGCTACATTTCCAGCACGTGGGGGTCTGCCCTTTGTGCCAAACTCGCAGTTTGTACCGGCCTACGGTGATGGAGCTGGGGACAGCGATTGTGGGTACCATGGTGTAGTACACGATACCTGTACTGAAGGTGCAGCCCTCAACCGTCTTTTTCTCGGGCAAAGAAAAGATAAGAAAGAAAGAGAGGTAAGCAACTCCATGTACATCAACAGTACAATTATTATAAGTCTGTTGTGTCATACGCTTACAATGAACACTCAGCAGCCGCCAGAACAGCCGAGTGAACAGGAAGTGGCACTGAAGAACGCCGGTAGCCGCGCGGACTAGCAACCATGGCTCTCACTAGGCTGAAGGACAGTTTGGTCCGGACGAAAGCCATGGTGACGGAAAAAGGCTCGTTGCGCTTGTCGCTCAGTTTGCTGGCAATCCTGGCAAACAGCGCAGATGAGGCTTTTCCCTGTCCACCAGTGGTGGAGAAGACAATGGGCACAAAGGAGGAGTGCTCTACCTCCAGAACTCGCCGCTCATATTTCCTCCGCTTCTCCTGCTCATGCTTTCTGTAGACAGACGAGATAAAGACTAAGAGCGATACGCCGATAGACCACCGTACACGTCGTACACCGTCCGTACACCGACATGATCGTGGCACGCAGTGCCAGGCCCAGTATACTGTATGCAGTAGGGCTAGGGCCGCGGTCACACATGCACTTTTTTTGGCGGTTCCGCCAAAGACTAGTGTAGCTCACGCGTCACGGTTCCGCCAAAGTGTAGCTCACGCTTCCGCCGTTGCCGAGGCAACGGCGGAGGCGTAAGTTACGCTTTGGCGGAAAGTTTGGATTTCGCTACGCCAAAAAATGCGAGCGGAACCTCCGCTATCGCGGATCCGCTTTGGCGGAACCTGCGTGGTGATGCCTTTGGAGATTGGTGTGCTACTTCTGCGCTGAGTTCTGGTGTTGTTTGGTTGCCATTTGGTATTCAGTTTTCATATTGTTCTTCTTTGCCTATGTACTGTACGTTCTGGAGATCTCGCAAACGATACTGCATCGTTATGAGTGGATAGTTGGTGAGGGAATCCGTCTCCCAACTCATTGGCACCGATCGCGGACGATCTCCAACTCTCTCCTTCTCTCTCCAAGCAATGCGTCCACCAGAGTATGCAACACTAGGACTGCAACCAGGGAGTAGTAGAGTACCCTGCCACACCCTCACTGCAACTGCAGGCATCCACGCAGTCGCTGGGGTCGATGATGGATCATGGAGGAGGGAACGACACCCTGCTATAAAACTATTTGAATTTGATATCGATGTAAAGTAAACTAATATTCAAATACACCCGGGCTGGGCCGCAGTGAATGTGCCCCAAATCCACGAGTGTACTTGACAGGAGACATTCAGCAGCCTGTCAGCGATCCACGATAGCTCTACTTGTACTAGCGAAGGTCGCTGCAACTCGGACAAGAAGGAGGCAACGACACCCTGCTATACAACTATTTGAATTTGATATTGATGTAAACCAAACTAGTAATATTCAAATAACGTTACACCTGTACTGGGCCGCAGTGAATTCGCCCCAAATCCACGAGTGTACTTGACAGGAGACATTCAGCAGGCTGTCGATGTCAGCGATCCACGATAGCTCTACTTGTACAAGGCGCTTCAACTCGGACAAGAACATCTAAAATTTCATAGGTCGTGCTGCATTTGCATTCTCTCCGCCAAAGCGGAGCGCTAGCGTTGAACTAACTTACAATTACTTGAGGAGCAGTAGTCTATTAATAGTATTATTGTATGTGTGACCGCTGCATCGTGTGGTCCGATGCGTTAGTTCCGCTTTTCGCCTCCGCAAAGCCAAAAGCCGTGCAAGCTTTTCATGTGTGACCGCGGTTATAACGTTAGTAGCTAGCTGTGGTCCAGCACAGTGTGGAAACGTTAAACTCTCGCTGAAACTTCCGGTCCCGGAAGTGCATTGTGTAAGACCAGCTAACTAGCAGCCAACGCTGATGGCTGACTCGCCGCGATGCCGTTCTTGGGAGGAAGCTGGGCTTTCTCCAGATGAGCTTTTGGCGGAGTCCTCTAATAGTGACATCGTCGAGTTGGAAACTGCAGATCCTGCCGCGATAGCGAGGAAGCGGTCTTTTCAGAAAACAGCTATTACCAAGTCTGAAAATGTTTCCAAAAGGACGAGAGTAGCTCATGGACAGAGCACTGAAGTGGCCATCAGTGCCGAAACACGGGTGCGGGAGTTCCCAGATGAGCCGCTCTAATTCTAAAGCGACTGTGGCAAGTAAGTGTGCCTGGCATGCCATACACCATTGTCAGGGAAGAAGAGTATAATCGTGTCCCATATTGCTACCGCGAGACACAAACAAGGAAAGTCCCGTTTGGAGAGGGAAACTCAGAGGCAGAAGCTGGTCAAGGAGTCCTTCTTGGCGTATCAGAAACGACTGGGGAAGGCTCTAGCTGACACCGGTCTTATTGAGGCCATTAGTTCAGCGAGTCTCTGCTGCGGATCCAGATTGTGCGTTCTATGTTGCAAGCAGGAATCCCACCTTGCACTCCAGGTAACATACATTCTATCCGTGCATAAATAATTGCATTGATGACTTGTTATCTCCTCTTTGTGCCGCCTCGATATGACTGTATGTGTTTGTGCCTAGCGTACATGTTTACCTGGTATTGTATTATGTGTTTATCATAGCATGGGTGCAATATTATAATATTATCGTTTTTCTTAGCCCAATACCGCAAGGTTCAGGTGTTTATATTCCATGCGGCAGAGCATTATCAGCATTATTTGGAGCATTATCAGCATTATTTGGAGCATTATATGGCCTTTTGTAGAGCATTACTGAGAGCATTATATCCCATATTACTGAGCATTATCCGCCAACACCTACCGACCACCCCCGCTCATGTTTCAGAGCTTTTATTAAAGCTGAATTGCTGCGCTATAACCACACAAACAGTGAGATCACCTCCCTGCTCACTATACGTGATGCTTTCTGGACCAAGCTTCGCAAGCGTGGTTACCCTCCTAGGTTTCTCCACGATGCGTTCAGTGATACCCCAACTAGCTGTCAACTCATACCTCCAGCTAGCTCTGTGCAAGCATCTGCCTCTTGCCCCACAGTTTTTGTTACTGACTATCACCCTGGCCTCCTCAGCCTTCAACGCACCCTGCAAAATTCTTTTCGCGCTGACTTATGTTTTAGGAAACCACATTCACGATGGGTATAGGTATTTTTTACCTCCATGCCTTGCACTCAACCTCGTGTTTGTTTTTTCGCCTTGCAAGCAACCCCGTGTTTTGTTCACGCTTTTTTCCGCGCTAAATCGCTAAATTGCTTTTTTTCGCGCTAATTACTCGACAGTGTTCAACGCCTGTCTGTCCAGTTCTCTGGTTATATTGAGTTCCATATTGTCATTTATCTCCATTCCTCTGATGAAGTGACTCATGTCACAGAAACCGGTCAGGTTAAAGAACTTGGAACTCTCCTTGCTTGTGAGTGTGTGGTTGTTATGTTCTAAACTTCCCGTGTAGGACCTTCGCCGCTGCTTCACTAGGACTTATATTCGGGGAAATACGGTAGGAGCTGGGAACTATTTGGTGAATGTGTATGGTCTCTCTGTTTCCGTCTCTTCACCTTGCCTTTCTCTTTTGTTAGAATCACACTGGATCGACTTCCAATTTCATGCTCCAACAACCGCAGAACTCCATGGAGCAGATGTCTTCCCTTCATCGTGAGAAAGCGAAGCTAATTCAACAACAGCTTGTCTTGCTTCTACATGCTCACAAATGTCAGCGTCGTGAGACTGTTCCGAACGAACCCCCTTGCAAAATACCGCATTGCAGGATCATGAAGTTTGTTCTGACCCATATGCAAGTCTGCCAGGCTGGTCGGTCTTGTGAAGGTAAGGCTGCAGATTGCTTGCACTCACTACACTCACTACACTCAGTTAGAATATCACTTTGAGTCGTTTGGCCCTTTCTGGATATTTGACAAGTAACTCGTCATGCAGCCTTCATCGCGTCTGCATACTCTCTTTTGACGGATGATAATTATTGATATTGAGTATCCAGGATAAAAAGTTCATGTACTGATTTTACGACCCGTTAGGCACATTACGTTTTCACTGTAGTTGATGTAAGAATGGTGTATCCTGTCCTTTTCTTTGCTCCTTTCAGTTGCACACTGCGCATCATCGCGTCAGATCATCAACCACTGGAGAAACTGTGCGAAGCCGGACTGTACTGTGTGTAGTTCACTGCGGGCTCCCAATCGACCTGGTAAGTTACTCTTGTGTTACTGTTATTTTTGAACGGGTAGGTGATCATAATATCTGATTGTGGATAACTGAATTGTATTCTGGCCCTTCTTGGCTGACCATTCAAATCATGATGCTGTCGATTTTCCACAACTACACCGACATTTAGAAGTGCATTCATGGGCTAGACGTGGGGATTGTACACGATTCAAATAAACCGAGATCTTTTGTCACGCAATACGTGTATGTACATGCCATTGTACTACCATTGCCTGCACACACATACACAGAGAAATTGGACTGGATTCTGGCTATGCCCGACGTACTGTGTCAGTTTGCTTTGGCATACATTTTGAATAAAGCCCATTGTGCTTGCATTGCCACTGGCGGGGATATGTCCTTCACTGTACCTGTTCTCTGGTTTAATCACCAGTCGACGCCTATGATACTTAGGTACAGAGCCATAATTGTTTTTGTACAGATGTTCTGAATGGCGTGAACTCAACACCGGGCATGGTGAATGGACTAAACCCAGCAACAGCTGCTGCCCACATGATCAATGCAAAACAAGGCATGGGAATGCTGCCTCTGCCTGGGAATGGTGTTGGTGCTGCAGGATCAGCTGGTGCAACGCCACTGCCCGGTATTTCTAATCTCGGTCTGCATAATGGTTCGGCTATGTACAACAACTTGCCGAACAATGGCATGCTTCCTTCTGGTGGCAATCACATCGGTTCAGCTCCTGGTTTTGGCATACGTGGTGGCAGTCCTGGCCTGCTTCCCAATTTTGCGTTGCCTACGGGTAATGTTGGTGCTGGCAATATGCAACAGCCAGGTGCCTACCCCATGGCCAATAATGAGCACAGCACTAACCTGGTCATACAGCAGGTGTAAGTTTTCCATTCTTAACTATGGCACCGCTTGTGTGCACCTGTTTCTACTTCTGTGAACTGAATTTCACCTGGTTTTGAGTTACGATCCTACAGAAATGTGCACCTGTTAAGTTTGCAGAGGAAGCACACCTGTGTTATCCTGTGTTGTGCCAAACCTAGCCTCTAAGTTTGAGCACTGCTGGTTTACCTATTTCGTGTGAGAAGCATAGTATTCTGGGTTGTTTTCTAACCCCAAACTTCTATCCTGAACACCCTTTGTGTTTGATCTTGGAATAGCATTCACCCAGTATCGTGTCCTGAGAAATCTGACTCACTATCTGCTTCGTACGTTCGCGTGTTGACGCTGCTGCTAGTCCTGTCATGTTTTCTCTGGCTGTGATGCTTTGGGTACTTTATAGGTCCAGTTTGTTGCAAGTTTGCCCACCTGTGGCGAATCAACCTTGGCATGAGAGTTATCCCAACGCCCGTCGCCAGGATGTCATTCGCAAAGTGTGAGTTCTGTTGCCATTGTCGGGTTTTGAGTGTGCTTGGTGAAGCATCCACATACATTTTAGTACTAGTTGCATTGCCTCGTTGTATCAGGCTGCACAAGCTGTCGTGGGGTGCATCAACATTGAATACCAGGGGCAAGTGTCAACTGCAAGAGGGGCTCTAGAGGCAAACAGTTGTCCTAAGCTAAAGGGGTTTGTGTGGACATCTGTTTTCATCTCTGCCCAATGACATTAATTTTACTGTCCAAGTAACTCTTGTCTTTTCTGAAATGTTTTCTCTTCAGGTTTCAAAAGCTCGCCATGTCTTTTCCTCATCTAAACCCTCGGCATTACCAGCGCATTGGCCAGTTTTCCATGAAAATGGAAGGCATGCACTTCTCCCATGCGAAAAGCGAAGTGAGTTGTGTACACATTCTTTGTCAAATTGTGGATCTATTTTTTTTACTTCATGCTTGTTTTCATCTTTCCACTGCTGGTATGTGATTTGGTCTGACCGTGCGCATTTGCCACCACGTCAGGGAAATGTATAGCCCTGGGTAGAAGTCTCCAGGATCTCAAAATGTGCAGATATAGTATGACTATGAGATGTATTTTACGAAAGACGCAACCCCCGTTAGCTGTTGATATGCAGCGAAGAATACCTGTGAATCAATAAGAGAGGATAAAGAGTTGACAGTAAAGAATTGAGAAAGAGCCCTGGTCGATTATGCCTTGGTATCCCTAGTAAGTAATTAGTTTTCTGGAGAGAAGCAAATGGGTGAGATTGTGGGCGAAATGAGGCAACATCCCACTCAACCCTCGTCGTTGGTAAAACAAAAAGCTCATCATTTCAATACTCAGACAATAGACCGATCCCGAAAAGATTGTCTGGGTTCGTGAAAGTGGGCACGCGTGCAAGCCAGCATGTGTGAAGTGCTTCGTTTTGTATTCAGTTTGTGCGTGTCAGCTCATGGCGGAGGAGAGAGAGACTTTTGCTCGCCGAGCTGAAGCTAAAGGATTTGATGGAGTCCTGCCAGCAGCTAGTCGAAGAACCTTCGATACCTTAGGCAGACCCTGACGGAGTTTGGAGGCCAGCTTGAGCTAGCTCTCGGTCGACGGTGAGGAGAGAAACATTCGCGTGGCGATCGACTCTCCGTAAAAAATGCAAGCTACATAGCGCCGACATCTGCAACAGCTACGATTTCAGCTAACTAATTACTTCTCGATCTCCTGCTTCACAAAGTTCAACTGTTTACAAGTCCTGACTGTTGTAGTCTGAAGCTGGAATCTCATCGCCCACCTACAGGTAGCTTTTGGAGCTGATGGATTTCCCGACTTGGACTCCTTCCGCAAACTCTCGCAACATTACTACAGTGTATGCTGTGTTTCCGCACGCTCGTGTCGACATGTCACCTATATGTACCGGGTCGCGGAGGAGCTTGACGACCTCCGCTGACTCCAGGTTTCCGAAATCCTGCCGTCGTCTTCGTTGATGTCGCTGGTGACATTCTCCCCTTGCAGGACGTGTGCATAATTGTCGTCCCGGGGGTAAAGACTATGTTGTCTTTCGAACTAGTTCTTCATCACGCTCGCGCGAATGATGTTTCTTATCATGAATTCGTTCTGACGGTGTGACACGGCGATGGTCTTGGGTGGGGCACTGGCTTGGCGAGAACGATAACTTCTTGTGCAATATAACATTGATCGGCTGCAGGTGAGTACAGTCACTTCGTGGTTGGTCCTATAGGAGGGCAGCTGCCAGGAAAGAGGCAGGACTCATCGAAGGCGAAGCGCTCGCAACAAACAATAGCACTCGAAATATCTAATAAGATTTAGGGCCTATCGCTTTGAGCCACAGCGCTCACAGCCTTGCCTACTTCATCAAAGTGAGCTCTACATGTTCGTTGACCTCTTCACACTACACAGAAGAGCGAAACAAGGATTATGTCTTAGCATTTCAACTCCAACAGCAGACCATTACCAGTGCGAGAGAGAAAACTACAAAGGGCTTTGCTTTCTGTCGCATCCCCTCTCTCTTGCATGCAACTAACGCGAAAACCGTGTACAGGTCCTCCCTCGTTAGTAGATAATCTCTGGGCCATCGAAAAAGTTATCTTATAACGAGATTATCTTGTAGCAGGACTTGCAGCTAAAGGTGAAATAGGCACTACTTCATACTTACCGGAGCAACCCTCGAAACAACATAAATTATCGATGCTTCAACTCGTTATAAGATAATTGAAATTACTCCAACATAACTCTTCCTTGGATGCAAAGGATTGTCCATATTCACGAATACATAGACATAATACGTTTCCTCTTTCTGCTTTATCCGTGTTTTGACCTTGGTCCTGCATCAATATTATCCTATACTGAGGGTTTGGCACTCCAGGGACCTGGGCGAGGACCTGTACTTGTGACCCTCGCATTCACACGTGAACTATCAAACACGTCTTGTGCCGCATGCTGATCAGGTAGTGCCATGTATGTGTTAGATCTACAGTGTACTCTCAGTTGACATACCCCCTTTCGAACCCAGACAATCTTTTCGGGATTGGTCCAGTATCACATAGATTTCTCCTTTACTGAGTTTGTGTGTTCCATACATTCCACGTATAAATGATTTCCTAACACTAGATGCGCTGTATGAGTCTCGTAGAGAACACTAGCAATGGCAATTTTTGTGGACTGTGATTTAATCATTTGCAGATTGAGTATATCAGTATGGTGTCAGCAAAAGTGGATGCTAACATACAGTCACAGATTGCGAAACGCCAGCAGCAACAGCAGCAGCAGCAACAACAGGTGCAGCAGCAGCAGCAAAACGGAGGTCGAGGTACAGTGTGATGTAATAATGTAAACAGCCTAATGTTTGCGACGTATGTATTTTTGCCAATTTTGGGAGAAGAAGAACGTAACGTGAATATTGACCATCGTGAAATCAAACTTCAACAATGAGTATATGTGTGTAACCACAGTGTTCCGTTAAAATTTGCCATCGTAAAATCGCTGGCTCTGAGAAACCCGGAAATATTTAGTGACGCGAATATTGGGCGGTTTACGGTATGTGCCTTGCAGTACATGCTGTATTTCATTGGTGCGGTGTTAGCGAAGTGCTTTGGTGGATCCTGTACAGAGATATACTAGTATGTTTAACAATGCTGATCCTATGCTTTTCTCTGCTCATGCAGCTAACTCCATGAATATGGACATTGCAACACAACAGGCAATGACTACGCAGCAGATCACTGCAATGCAGCAGCTGCAACAACAGCATCAGCGCCAGCTTCTCCACCAGCAACACCAGCAGCGCCTTCAGCAGTTACCCCACCAGCAGCAGCACCAGCACCAGCACCAGCAGCAGCAACAACAACAGCAGCAGCAGATGGAAGCTCAGCTGAACCAAAGCCAGTCCACAGCACAGCAGTTTCAATGGCTGACCAATGCGCCTAACCTCTCAGCTTCTAGCACACCTGTGCTGAACATAAATGTCCAAACCGAAGGCGAGGTATGCATTAGCTGTAGATTGTGGTGCGAGGTGCTCCAACTCTGCAACAGCTGCAACAGTTCTGTTGGAAAGTGTATTTTCTACATTGTGCAGATGAAACCGGTTGTAGTGGGCTCAGCTGACCCGCTATAGGAAATGGATCACGGTTGCTTTGGTCATAAGCACTTGGTCCTACTGAAATTTTGCTCTAAAAACACGTATGCTGAAAGGGAATGAATCCTTCGAAGTGGACTAATATAAGAGTGTCCTTTCCTTCTTTTTTTCCTTCTGCTGTAGACCACATCTAATGTATCGACAACGTCTGCCCCTTCATCTCAGCCTGTTGCTACTCCAATTCAGGCTGCAGCGTCCTCGGCTAGCTCTCTGTTTTCCAGCACTAACATGCTATCTGCAGCGTCCTCGGCTAGCTCTATGTTTTCCAGCACTAACATGTTTTCCAGCACTAACATGCTATCTGCAGTAAATCAGTCGCCAGCAGCTGTCGCTGCAGCGTCGGACAGCACACTTCTTCAACAGTCCGGTGCTGGAGACATGGATACTGGCAGTCTTCCGGCCAATATGTTTCCATCTACCACTCCAGAAGCTGACGGAGTTCCAGGCAAGACATGTAAGCTCATAATGCTGTTGATGTTACCCCGTTATGGACTGAACTCAATGTATGTGGAGCATTGTGCAATAATGTAAACAGCCTAATGTTTGCGACGTATTTATTTTTGCTAATTTTGGGAGAAGAAGAACATAACATGAATATTGACCATCGTGAAATCAAACTTCTACAATGAGTGATGTGTGTAACCACTGTGTTCCGTGAAAATTTGCCATCGTAAACTTGCTGGATGTGAGAAACCCCGAATATTAGTGACACGGTTTACGGTATGTGCCTTGCAGTACATGCTGTAGGTCATTGGTGCGGTGTTAGCGAAGTGCTTTGGTGGATCCTGTGCAGAGATATACTAGTATGTTTAACAATGCTGATCCTATGCTTTTCTCTGCTCATGCAGCTAACTCCATGAATATGGACATTGCAACACAACAGGCAATGACTGCGCAGCATATCACTGCAATGCAGCAGCTGCAACAACAGCATCAGCGCCAGCTTCTCCACCAGCAACAGCACCACCAGCAGCAACAACAACAGCAGCAGCAGATGGAAGCTAAGCTGAACCAAAGCCAGTCCACAGCACAGCAGTTTCAATGGCTGACCAATGCGCCTAACCGCTCAGCTTCTAGCACACCCGTGCTGAACATAAATGTCCAAACCGAAGGCGAGGTATGCATTAGCTGTAGATTGTGGTGCGAGGTGCTCCAACTCCAGTTCTGTTGGAAAGTGTATTTTCTACATTGTGCAGATGAAACCGGTTGTAGTGGGCTCAGCTGACCCGCTATAGGAAATGGATCACGGTTGCTTTGGTCATAAGCTCTTGGTCCTACTGAAATTTTGCTCTAAAACACGTATGCCGAAAGGGAATGAATCCTTCGAAGTGGACTAATATAAGTGTGTCCTTTCCTTCTTTTTTTCCTTCTGCTGTAGGCCACATCTAATGTATCGACAACGTCTGCCCCTTCATCTCAGCCTGTTGCTACTCCAATTCAGGCTGCAGCGTCCTCGGCTCGCTCTCTGTTTTCCAGCACTAACATGCTATCTGCAGTAAATCAGTCGCCAGCAGCTGTCGCTGCAGCGTCGGACAGCACACTTCTTCAACAGTCCGGTGCTGGAGACATGGATACTGGCAGTCTTCCGGCCAATATGTTTCCACCTACCACTCCAGAAGCTGACGGAGTTCCAGGCAAGACATGTAAGCTCATCTTATGCTGTTGATGTTAACCCGTTATGGACTGAACTCAATGTATGTGGAGAATTGTGCCCTCAAATTCTTTACCTCAATCGAATTGGACGTAACTTTAGTTTCCCCCAGACAATTGTCATCATCTTGGGCATCCTGGAAAGCCCCTGACGAGAGGAACACGATGAGCCCAAACTCGAGTCCACGAGATGCGCTGGACCAGCGCTGCAAGCCAGCGAAGGCGTTTCAGCGCGGGGCTCGCGCTCTAGATCGATCTCCATCCGCCATTTCACTTTCCTTACTCGTATGTACTATGGTATAACCTAACACTGGTTAAAAACCAGTATTAGATAAACCTTGTTATAGTTCACGCAATTGTTAGATTGACAGCATGAAACAAGGTGGAGGACACAGTGTTCGGAAACAGTGACCTTACTACATACTTCCGCGGTTGGCAGAGCCCCGGTCCCTGCGGACCATTTGAACCATATGGGTATCGCACCCGGTTCTGACCCTCATTATGCTAGGGGGTTAGGAGACTACTCCTGATGTCGTCTTGTTGTCTTCGCTCTTTTCTTTAACTTGTATAAAGACTTCTTTTTCTTTTTCTTTTTTCTTCCAACTTCTGCCCATGGCGTCCTTCTCTCAGCTCGTTTGTAGATGAAATTCAAGTTTTCTTGACCAGTACTAGTTTGCGTGGCAGCATCAACGGCAGGCAGGTTAAAGAGTGGAGGCAACCAACGTGTAGCCGGGGTGTTCCGACGTGGTGAAGGCCTACCCATGGCCACGTCGGGACATCACCAACCCCGTCTACAGAGAGCACCTTCTCGCGACAGTGTCATGGTGATGACAAAAAAACTGTTGACAGTTGATGAGCTGACAGAAGGACGCCATGGGCAGAAGTTGGAAGAAAAAAGAAAAAGAAAGAGAAGCCTTTATACAAGTTAAAGAAAAGAGCGAAGAAAACAAGACGACATCAGGAGTAGTCTCCTAACCCCCTAGCATAATGAGGGTCAGAACCGGGTGTGATACCCATATGGTTCAAATGGTCCGCAGGGACCGGGGCTCTGCCAACCGCGGAAGGTTGTAGTAAGGTCACTGTTTCTGAACACAGTGTCCTCTACCTTGTTTCATGCTGTCAATCTAACAATCGTATGTACTAGTAGCTGAAATATTTTGTAGGCACTCGCGGGAACCCCTGTTCGAATTTGAAAGAGCGTAGCCTTGCCAACAGCCGACGAGTTCAGGGGAAATCCCGGGCGTTCAGTCACGAATTCACGGCCGTGGATGCCAATTGACCGTGACGAAGGTTACGCGCGTCGTAACTCACTCACCGTTCATCGTATCGCTTCGTAAATTGTTCGAGACGACAGCTGAGAGTTTAGTCTTCTCCCTACATATTTCGTTCTCTCCAAACAACTGAGAATTGACCAAGTTACGATAGTTACGATAGTTTGAAAATATTTGAAATGTGTAGAATTTATCGATCACCGGCGATCGATTATAGTATGTGCCGTCGGCAAAGGGTCGATTTGGGTAGGTCACGTGTACCCCACGGTACGAGCTTGAAGCTGAGAGTGATTTACACCTGCGCACAGTCATTCAGTGCATTCCGTCGGCAGGGCGGATCACCATTTTTCTCAATTTCTGACTTTGGTCTTGAGGGAAAATAGCGGGGGATCGGGAGCTGGGAGATGACTGGAGAAAGCTCAAAAATCAACCAATCGAAAAGCCAAGAAAAAACTTCGTGCCACAAATACAAAAGAAAGAAAAAACTTCCTGTCAGGTAGCAGTAAAATACCTACTACACACTGTATTCGACCTCACGGAATACCACGGCATGCCATTTCCACCCCCCAGAGGCCCTCGGCACCGGATTGGAATGTCCACGGCGCGGTAGGGCAGGAGCCACGGAATGAACTCGTGCCAAAACTGCCCTTCACGTGAGCAAATCACCATGGGTACTCGCGGCACGGCACTCACGGTACCGTAGTGGAAATCGGCCCCTATTAAGGGGGCAGCCTGGTCGTAAAATCCCTGAAAAATCGAATTTGTTAATTCATATCAAATGCTACATCAGTTGAAAGAGCATGAATAGCTGGAAAATCTCTGAATCTTTTCTCGATCTGACCAGTCGTTCAAGAGTTATGGCCGAAAATGTGCTTTTGCAAGGAAAGATTTTTGTTGCACGCTGTCATTTGTTGGTAGCACTGTTTTTGAATGTGAGCAGACCGTGCGCAACTTTGTCGTATCATGGAAAGACGCGAAAGTGTGTAAACATTTGCTCCAAGTCCAAAAAAGTCCAAAACAAGTTTTTTAGCCACGTATTGGGCTGCACGGCGGCGGGCTTTTCGTGCAGCAGGACTTTTGCCAGCACCCTCGTGACGTTGCAGATATGTGGCTTGATTATTGTAGTTGACGTTGATTTAGGCTGTGTTTACATGAGGCGTTTCAACCCGGGTTGAGTTCGACCCGGGTCAGATTTCAACCCGCCATGTGCACAAAATGAATGGCGCGTTTACATGACGCATTGCGCTTGACGCGGGTTGAAATTTCGCCCCGGGTTGATTTCAACCCGGGTCAGGAAAATTGTACTAACGTACTTCTGTGCGTATCTCGTGCCAGGTTTGAACAGCACTGCACATGCAAATTTCGCGCGAACGGATTCACGTGACCATACAGGATTCTAGAAGTGGACTTTTGGCGGCATATCAGTATTTGACCCGGGTCAACTCTCTTCATGTAAACGCTCACCTCTTTTGTCTATCGTACAGACTTTCAACCCGGGCTGAACTCGACCCGGGTTGAAGTTTCTCATGTAAACACAGCCTTAGTGACTTTGGCAAGTGTCGTGTCAAGAAGTCAGGTAGGATTCAGTACTAGGCAGTAGTGGAACGTGAGTGGTAGTCTTTGCCGATTTATGAGGGTATCCTGGATTCGGTTTGAAACGCTGTGGAAATGGCTTGCTGTGGAGGTCCCAGCACTGGATGCTGTGTCAAAGGTACGACCTCGTAGCACGCCCTGAACCTAAAAATATTCAAAAATTGACTTGGGTCTGTGAGAGTCTGTGACAGAACACCCACTCCTGCCGTTGTGACAGATTCCAGGGCCACGTTGAAGGGCCCTAACCCACCACCCATGGCTGCTTCTGGACGTTTTTTAGGTTTGGATCCTGCGCACGGACAGAATTGGCTAGAAAATGTGAACAAATTGTAAATGTTTTTGTTTGGCTCCTGGGTGGCTCGCAAACCGTAGCACTATGCCGGAATTTTGAGTTTTCCGGCCAGGAAAGCCTGTCAGTGGAGCGCAAGAACTTTTAAATCATGTCCAGAGGGCCAGCATAGTGGCAGAAGTGTGTGGTGAAAATTTCACTCAAATCCATTGAGAGACACCAAAGTTACGGTCAATTGAATGCCATATGAAATTTAGGACCAAGCTGCTACCTTATAAGGGGCCCTATCCCACCACCCATGGCTAGGCCTCCGCGGAATATGCCGGCATAATTTCGGGAATTATCGGTGTGATTTTTAAAACGGGAATTATTGGCAATTTTTGTGGAATAATCGGTAAAATTTGAGCAATGCCCCCCTTTTTTCAATTTTTTTCCATTTATAACACCCTGATTTGTACCAAAAAGCTCATGATCCTGAAGTTGATCGCCCGGTATTTCAAAAAGAAAGAAAAAAAAAGCTTCCAGCCGAGTTTCACGCGAACCGTGATTTTTTTGCCCGTACAAGTGGCAAAAAACCCGTACGCGGTACATTATCTGCAAAAAAAGGGAAGAAAAAAAGAATTATTGTGAGAATTGTTGGTGGAATTACGGGAATAATCGGTCGAAATTTTGAGCAATGCTCAAAAGAATTATCGGTAAAAATACGAGCATATTCCGCGGAGGCCTACCCATGGCTGCTTCTGGACTTGTTATAGGTTTGGATCCCGCGCACGGACAGAATGGGCAGGAAAATGTGAAAAAATTGTAAATGCATTTTTTTGGCTCCTGGGTGGCTCGCACACCGTGGCACTTTGCCGGAATTTTGAGTTTTTCCGGCCTGGAAAGCCTGTCAGTGAGGCGCAAGAACTTGTAAATCATGTCCAGAGGGCCAGCATTGTGGCAGGAGTGTGTGGTGAAAATTTCACTCAAATCCATTGAGAGACACCAAAGTTACGGTCAATTGAATGCCATATGAAATTTAGGACCAGGCAGGAGGGACCTTTTAAAAGCGATCTTGTTTAGGTTGGCCATACTATGTCCATGAATTTTTCCTTTAACTGTATTACTGGGCCCTTGCTTATGCTACTTGTTTTGCTGTTGTGCTTTGTTCAGTCGAAATGTCTGCGGAGATTGTGCGGGATACGTTTCTTCCGATTGTGGAACGACTGGTCACTCATACTCCAGATAGCTTACCCTTTCTACAACCCGTCGATCCGATTCTTTTGCACTGCCCTGTAAGTGAAGGAGTCACAGAACACTGATTTTTTAGCTTTTCACTGTTCGCTGTACGCTGCTTTGCTGATGTCCACTGCCACTGGGTTGGCTTTGTACTGTGTGTAACTTGGCGACCAAGGCTGTGGATTAGTTACTGTGTCGCAAAGATTTTCTGCAAGTTCCCTAGTGATGACACACACCGTGTGTTGAGTATATTCATGCGTGCATTTGTGCTGTGATATCTTGACCCATCAGGACTATCCGCAGAGCGTGTGTGTGTGTTGAGTATATTCATGCATGCGTACGTGTCCTGATGTTTGACGTTTGTGCTGTGATGTCTTGATCCATCAGGACTATCCGCAGATCGTGAAGGAGCCAATGGATTTGTCAACTCTGAAACAGAAGCTTGTCGACCTAGAATTCACCGATCCGTGGGAATTCATTGCGGATGCCTACAAGATTGTGGAGAACGCATGGTTGTATAATAAGAGGACCAGCAAAATTCACAGGCAAGCTACACGAGTGAGTTCCGTTGTCCTTTCCTTACCTGGATCTGTGCTGTTAATCTCGTAATATGCTTCAAATACTGACTGCTTAGTACTTCGTACGGTTGTGTTCAGTGGGAATTTGACCAAAGTGCATATTCCACGCCCTCAACTTGCACGGTCCTGGCAGTATTGCGGATGTGACTGGACATGTACACATGTACTGGCATTAAGCGTAATTGTACTTATTATGCTGAAGTTGCCCCGACCCCACCTACTGCAATAAGGATCTTTCTCACCAATAATCGTCATAGTTCGTACGTCATGGTTGGCTGTTTGGTCGGGATTTTTTTACAAGATCACCACAAGCCATCATGGTGCAAACGCCGGCAAAAACGCACAGAGATGCGCATAGCGATGGCAGCCGAAGCAGTGGAGGCGGGGCAAGAACAGCTAAACCGACCAGGGGTCTCGGCCTCGGCACTGCTCATGCGCGCCAAACAGAAAAATACTTCCTCCGTTAACAAAAACTTCGTGATGGATTTTGATGGATATGAAAACGCTTAGAACAGGTCAAGAACAGTTTGTATCGCCTTACAATTACTGGACGACGGTGATTCAGCCTATGCACAGCGCTTTTGCAAGAGGAACTGTTGGCAGAATGAGCAGAGAGTTCAGTTGGCGTTGCTTTCGCTCGATTCATTTTTGACCTGCGTCGCTGTCGTCATCTGCTGCACGCGAGTCGTCATCTGCTGTACGCGAGTCGTCATCTCTCTCCAGTCGTTGTGCAGCTCGTTTCAGCCTTGCCTCGGCTGCTTTGATCACACTCCGCTTGATGTCGCCGCCGTTCAAGTAAGTTTGCTTTCAAGCTGCGTGATCCGCCGCGATGGCGATTACTCGTTTCCACCAGGGAGTCGTGAAAAATATTTTACAACTCCCTGGTTTCATCTTCGCTCTCCAGAACTCCGCGAAACGAGGAGTAAAGGCACAGCTAAACTGATTCCAATTTCTCTAATGGATACCAGCACTGAACGGCAGCGGCTAGCAAGTCCAGTCGACTTTCTTTAGCCACGAGACGCGCATCTGACTGCAGACTTCTGAAAGAATGCATGGTCTTCAGCATTCGAATCTGGGCTTTGCGCAGGTTGAACAAGAACTAACGTGTTACTTCAGTTCAGAATTGTTTTCATTGAGCTGTGCGATCGGAGCAGCTCCTTGTTCACTCGCTCATTGTGTGGTCTCGCTGCTCCGTTTTATCGCTCTCTATCACTCTCCAACGTACTCAGTGCCAAAGTGGTAGAGAGGCCAAGCATCGCAATATCCCCTCGGAGAAGTGGCATTTCAGTTTCGCTCGCCATGACTGTCATCACCTATGTTTCCACAGCGCAACCATCGATTCCGCTCGGCTTGTTGTGAAAGGTCGCTTTCCTTGCATCGTACCTCTGTCATGGCATGCCAGGGAAGGCCAAGAAAGTGATTGTGACTCATTTCACGGCAGTTTGTGCCCAAATCAGCCCCTCAAAATTCCATCACGAAGTTTTTGTTAACGGAGGAAGTACTAAATAGAAAAAATGAGCAGGAGCACTACAGAGCAAATGTGAAATAAGGGTGGCAGCACGGATAATAAATCATTGTCCATTGGTTAACCATCTTCCCCTTATTTCTGTCTTTTGTTGTTCCGATGCAGCTAACTGATTTCTTTGAAAAGATCATCGATGAGCCCATGCAGAATATTGGATTTTGTTGTGGCAAGTCGGTGAGTCCTATTTCACTGTAGCGTGGCTGTGCTATCACATTCTATACTCTAGGTATGCTATAAGGTTGGAACTACGCTGGTATGTGTGTTTAGTTATGCTATAACTTTGCCTTTTTTTCAGACAACTCATTTTGTCCTTGTTCCTGTTGATCTACAGAGGTTCTACACAGCTCAAGTGCTGTATTGTGCGTGCAAATCCTGCGCTATTCCTCGAGATGCGGTCTGCTATGTGTACAAGGGCATTGAAGCGACAATTCACTATTGCAAGAAGTGCTTTAGTGAAGTCAACAAGTCAGTCAATGTGGGATCTGAAGGGTACGTATTTGTCTTACTGTTCCTAACTCTCTGCTAACGTAGTGCATACCCTAACTTAATCCACACTAGTTCAGGATATACATATAGTATATTTTTGATAATAATGTTTTCCTTCCATGTTTGTTTTCTCGCTTCTATTTTCAGGGACGTATTGAAAACGAAGTTTCAGGAGATGAAGAATATGGTCAACGACCCTGAGCCCTTTGTGTTTTGTTCGATTTGCGTGCGGCGTATGCACAAAGTTTGTGTTGGCTTCCATCCCTCCATCTGGAAAAGAGAGTAAGTGGATGCGTTGGTTTGGGATGTGTGAATTGGTTGCCATTGTTGTGTGCTCTGTCCTTATCATAATTGTACATGATGTGTGAGTATGGGTGGGTATTAACTAAGCTGACTGCACACCTCTCTGCACTTGCCTGTTTGCATTTCAGCTATGAGTGCAAGGAGTGCCTGACAAAGAACAACAAGACTGAACCTGTCAACAAGTTCACTGCTAAAGGTAACTATTGTTGTGAAATGATGTGTTGTTTTCCTGTGTGATGGCATTCCCCAAACTGTCTCGTCTAGTCGCGTGCATGTGTGATATGAGCATGCGCGATGTTGTAGTCGAGAGTCCTTTTGTCAGTCTTCTTGTTCGTCCCTTGGAGTGTTGTCTCCATTTCCGTAATGTCAATAATAATTATGTAAACCAAACTAGTCTTGTCCTTTGTGTCCTGCGTCCCGGGGAACGGAATGGCTGAGATTCCGTTACAACGTGGTGCCGAAACCCGGGACGCAGAGGATGAGTTAGTTTGTAGTGAGTCTGTTCGTCGTCGTCGTCGTCAACAACGAAGTGACTGTTACTTTCAAGTAAACAGAGCGTGGGAGCGGAGGAGGTGAAGAGCTGGTGGGAGCGGAAGACGACGCGGAGAGGAGGCAGAGAAGGTGATGGACTAGAACAGTCACTGTGGACTGGAGCCTGAGACGGCAGGAACCGCGACGGAGCGTGTGGCCGTGGCTCGCCAGAGGACAGTGGACGAGTCTGGCGTCACCGACTGTGGTGTCGTCCTTGTTGTTCGTCTTGTTGTGTTGCTCGCTGTGTTGTTCTCTCTCTGTTCAGTTCGTTGCTTGTTGCTGTGTTGTTTCAGTTTGGTTGTTGTCGGTCTGTTGCTCTTCTATTCGTTCTGTTCTCCATTGTTTTTGTTGTAGATTTATTTGGTGCGGCTGTGCGCATGTCATTATTTTGTTGGAGCTTGGGCTCCCGTGTTTCGGTTGGCCTTGTGTGGCGTGGCCTGGTTGTAGAGCGTCGGCTCTAGGTTTTTGTTTGGCCCTGTTTCGTGGCCCGGATATTATTTTAGAGCGTCGGCTCTAGGTTGACGGTTGGTTTTCGTTTTTCTGCTCTGCTGTGGTTCCTTTTGCTGTTGTGCGTGTGGAACGTGGTGTCGGTTTATTATTTTGTGGAATGTCATCAAGGGGGCAGGTGTTGTGAAATGATGTGTTGTTTTCCTGTGTGATAGCATTCCCCAAACTGTCTCGTCTAGTCGCGTGCATGTGTGATATGAGCATGCGCGATGTTGTAGTCGAGAGTCCTTTTGTCAGTCTTCTTGTTCGTCCTTTGGAGTGTTGTCTCCATTTCCGTAATGTCAATAATACTTATGTAAACCAAACTAGTCTTGTCCTTTGTGTCCTGCGTCCCGGGGAACGGAATGGCTGAGATTCCGTTACACTATGGTTAGGAGAGGGTTATTAGATCAGAAGGACAAATCGTTTGGAAAGGATATGTCACATCATAAGTTGGTGCCGCATTCGCCAAATCGATTCACATGGCAGCGCACAATGGATAAGCAAAGCATGAAAAGAGGAGAGAGAGGACGACTGGGTTGGTTATTGGGTTATCTGGCATTGGCGAAATCTGGGCATTGATACTGGTCTTATTTTTCACCTGGAGAAAACCTAAATATTTGTTCATGAGTTTTCCTCTTGTTGTTTGTAGCACTGCCGCGCAATGCTCTAGATACATACCTTGAGGAGAGAATCAACGCTTACCTTGCAACTGCTGATACTAACCGTGAAGCTGGCCACATTCACATCCGCGTGCTCTCCAGTAGCAAGCAGACAGTGAAGGTCAAGGATGCCACCAAAGAAAAGTAAGTCATGTCTGTTGTTGGTGGCAGTAGCAGCGATGATGCTGATGTTGTTGTTGTTGTTGTTTTTTTCAATTGTCGTAAGAGCCCTCTTCACTCCGAATGAATCTAGGTGTAACGGAAATGCTTCTCCCCCTGGCTCTCGCCACACGACAACGCAAACTCTTGATTGTATCTTCAATACTCTTATATTATACCAAGAAATGACGAGGGCGCAGGAGGAGAGAGACAAACTTGGTGAGGACAAAAAGGACAACGGGAAGACTCCCGGGAAAAGACTCGAAGAAACAACAACGAACAAACAGTAATAAGCCGACGAAAACTCGAGACGACCAATCAGGGATGAATACGTACAGAACACATGACCAAGACCAAGACAACCAGACCACGGACGAATCACACATGACTCTCATTCCCAGACCAAACTAGCACTGCGCATGTACAGCATTCACTTGACAGTCACTCTCACACAGACGGAAGCACATCCTCACACTCTGACAACGCGTACTCTTGCATGCACCACATACCATAAACGTCACACATCACACCATACTCGCGCGTACACCTAGACCATATATGACATCAGACAATGGACTCCACAAGACAAGAACCAAATACAACGACATCCGTAAATCAATACGAGACGAAATCCGTAACACAGCAATCCCCTCCGGCGAGAGTCGACCTCGACTCTCAGAAGTAGAAAAATGGAGTAGGAGACAAAAGGGGTGAGAAGACACAATAACAGGAGAAGAAGACAGGACAACGGCAAGTGGCTGGCTGCAGACGTGGAGATGGGAAAACCTTGGGTGTGGTTCCACGAGGTGGTGCGTCGTACGACTTGCCCATTCGGATGTGGAAGATGTGTATAACATGTACAAATGGAGCAACAGAACACAGCAGGCATGTAGGAGTAAGCAATCAGTGAGGACAAACAAAACCTCGGCGCGGAGCCGGCATCAACATATTTTATTATTTATTTTTATTTTATTTTATTTTTATTTTACAAACCCTCGGCTCGGAGCCGGCATAAGTGTCCCACACTTTTCCGATGTCGGACCATCGTGTCGTCCCACGACCCCGTATGATCCTCTTGTCGTCCCACGACCCATAATAATTTTATTTTACAATTCCCTGACAAACTCAATAGACACAGGAGCCCCCCAGCTCACGAAGCGAACCGTGGCTCACCATGATCGGACATCCGCAGGGCAAAACTGGGCAGACCCGCAGGTCGACACAAAACAAGATAAACAAAAGACGCTCACTGAAAGACCAAACCGAACTAAGCTGACAAACCAAACAGGTACACGACTACACTGAAAGGCTAATCAAGAAACTGCACAAACCCCAGCAAATATACGTACACTGACTGCCAAAACCCCAAACAGAAAGACACAAGAGAGACACAAGAACCGGATCGCGAAAAGATAACAAGCACCAAAAACAAAACCCACGACGCAGATTGTGAAAATACTACATTGCCCCGACAAACAGAACGACGGGGAAAGCACCCGGGCCCTGGGTGTATCCGTGCAGTAATGCTGACGACAACAAAATAGGCAGGCAAGTGAATAAACTACAGCGAAAGCCATAACTGGGATTGACTCACCGGGTAGTTGTGCGCCTGACGAACGACCAGTTCCGCTTGCCGAAATAAAAATAATAAAGTCGCCACACGTCGACAAAACTGAAAGGAGAAACGAAAGGACCACGGCGAGCATAAACTACTTGTGGAGAAGTAGAATCAGGTTCGAGCCGGTCACCACGTTGGGCGCCACTGTAACGGAAATGCTTCTCCCCCTGGCCCTCGCCACACAACAACGCAAACTCTTGATTGTATCTTCAATACTCTTATATTATACCAAGAAATGACGAGGGCGCAGGAGGAGAGAGACAAACTTGGTGAGGACAAAAAGGACAACGGGAAGACTCCCGGGAGAAGACTCGAAGAAACAACAACGAACAAACAGTAATAAGCCGACGAAACTCAGACGACCAATCAGGGACGAATACGTACAGAACACATGACCAAGACCAAGACAACCAGACCACGGACGAATCACACATGACTCGCATTCCCAGACCAAACTAGCACTGCGCATGTACAGCATTCACTTGACAGTCACTCTCACACAGACGGAAGCACATCCTCACACTCTGACAACGCGTACTCTTGCATGCACCACATACCATAAACGTCACACATCACACCATACTCGCGCGTACACCTAGACCATATATGACATCAGACACTGGACTCCACAAGACAAGAACCAAATACAACGACATGCGTATATCAATACGAGACGAAATCCGTAACATAGGGTATGGTTGTGGGATTTTGTTTGTTCAATTTGCTGTATATGGCATTCTACCAAGAGTACTCTTGATTCTACTTGTTAAGGTTCTGTTCCGCCATAAGGTTTGATCAGCAAATAGTGCACCAAAGAATGTGCGAGCCATAGTACACCTAGTGCATTCTCAGGCAAGAAAAAAAGATCTAAGGGTAGTTCAAGAAAACGGGCAGGAACCTCTGGTATGTTTTTCGGTGTTTTCCTTCTGGCTAGTAGGAATATACTGGGTACCTGTTGTAACGGAATCACAGCCATTCCGTTCCCCGGGACGCAGGACACAAAGGACAAGACTGGTTTGTTACATTATTTATATTTGGACATTACGGAAAGGTAGACTACACTCAAAGGGACGAACAAGAAGACTGACAAAAGGCCTCTCGACTACAAAATCGCGCATGCTCATATCACACATGCACGCGACTAGACGAGACAGTTTGGGGAATGCCATCACACAGGAAAACAACACATCATTTTACAACACCTGCCCCCTTGATGACATTCCACGAAATAATAAACCGACACCACGTTCCACATGCACAACAGCAAAAGGAACCACAGCAAAACAGAAAAACCAAAACCAACCAACAGCTTACATTGTAGCACAACAAAACTGGGCCACGACACAGGGCCAAACCAAGACACAAGAGCCGACGCTCTAAACTCAGGCACACAAGGATAACCGAAACACGAGAGCCAAAGCTCCAACAAAAATAATAACAAAGGACAAGACTAGTTTGGTTTACATAATTATTATTGACAATACGGCAATGGAGACAACACTCAAAGGGACGAACAAGAAGACTGACAAAAGGACTCTCGACTACAAAATCGCGCATGCTCATATCACACATGCACGCGACTAGACGAGACAGTTTGGGGAATGCCATCACACAGGAAAACAACACATCATTTTACAACACTGTCTATCGCTGTGTACTAGAGTGTTCACAAATCATCAAACATCTCTCATAAAAACCAGCCTTTTTATTATTATACTCAACTCTGTGTGTTTGTGTGTACATGTGCGTGTTCGTGTATGTTTCTTCCATTAACCCAGGTTTGATGAGCTAAGTGGCACATCTTTTCCGGAGGAATTTCCTTATGTAGCAAAGGCTGTCTTTGCGTTTGAGGAAATTGATGGCGAGGAGATGTGCTTCTTTGGCATGCACGTGCAGGAGTTTGATTCCGACTGTCCCGAGCCTAATAGTCGGTAAGATCTATATCCTATTATCCATCTTGTGTTTCTACTTCTCTCTCTCTCTCTCTCTCTCTCTCTCTCTCTCTCTCTCTCTCTCTCTCTCTCTCTCTCTCTCTCTCTCTCTCTCTCTCTCTCTCTCTCTCTCTCTCTCTCTCTCTCTCTCTCTCTCTCTCTCTCTCTCTCTCTCTCTCTCTCTCTCTCTCTCTCTCTCTCTCTCTCGACTTTGACTTTGACTTTGACTTTGTTTAGTTTGCTGTACAAGTGCATGTACTACATGTAACACCGTTGACTGCTGAGTGAAATCTCTTCAAGACTTGCTCTCTATTCTCTGCGTATTTTTATTTTGTAGGCGTGTATACCTTTCGTATCTGGACAGTGTCCATTTCTTCCGACCAAGGCATTTGCGTACTCAAGTGTATCATGAGCTGCTTGTCGCCTATATGGAGTATGTAGCAAAGCGAGGCTTTGTCACTGCTCACATTTGGGCATGCCCTCCTGAGGAAGATGACGACTACATTTTCCACTGCCACCCATCTGAGCAGAAGACACCAAAGCCGAAGCGTCTACAAGAGTGGTACAAGACCATGCTGGACGGAGCAGTTGCTCAAAAGGCTGTTATCGATTATCGGGTAAGTACTCTAAATCAACTAATTTTCGCTGATTTCGCCGCTTGGTTCCAACTGGCCAAAGTTGATTGGAGGCGAAAGTTTATCATCGAGGCAAATTATGCATAATTCAGCCATGGCTGCATGTGTGGGCAACAACTAACGATATTTTTGAAAACTCCAATCGGCCAAAAGTTTCATTTCGAAATTGGCCAAAGTTTCTCACTGGCTAAAATTTGTTGACAAGCAAGAGGTAACTACGTGTAGTAGTAGTAGTAGTAGTAGTAGTAGTAGTACTAGTAGTAGTAGTATTCTTTTATTTTCCATCGGAAGCCTCAACAGTGATGAACACAACTCTTAAGAGGGCCGATAACAGAGTAGACGGGTGTGGGGTGAGAAAATTAATCGATGTTTAAACTAAACTAAACTGATACTTGGAACAATAAAGCAGCAGTAAGCAGTAAACACAGGTATACAATACAAGCGATGCAGATCAATGAGGCCGTTTTCTGAAAAGAAGATCAAAATACTTCTATCTAGAAAATACTTCTTTAGGGGCCGTCCAAGGTTACCAATAATATTTTCAAAACGAAATGTTTTCGTTTGTGGGTGGGTGGGTTTGATGGAGTTTCGTTTTGAAAATAATTATTGAATGCTGATGGAGAATGCCCAGTTACTTCTGGATGTCGAAAATTGACATCAATATTTTATTGGAATTCGTTTTAACTGCAGAAAAGGTGGGTGGGTGGGTGGGGGCTGAAAAATACTAAAACTTTTCGTTTTGTAAAAATAATCGGTAACCCCGGACGGCCCCTTAACCCTTTCACTGCCACTGTCGACGAAAGTCGACAGCGCATTCATGCACTCTGAGTGCCACTGTCGACGAAAGTCGACAAGCAAACATGCAGTCCCCAGTGCCACCGTCGACTTTTGTCGACAGGCAGACTTCACCCAGTTTGGGCCACTATTTTTGACTATTGGAGATGTTTAGCCGTGGTAGAGGGCCACTAGGCCCTAGAAGAGGTCCATACCCATCGAAATACGCTGCCAGAAGCATGGGTTGCCATTTGAAAAAATCGAACCAGCGTCGTTGAAAATGCGCATCTGATTTTTAGCCGAGCGGCGCGGAAGAAATCGGTTCTCACGCACTTCCACCTTCCTGAGTCGGTGCCAGTTTTTTTCTCTTTCCCGTAAACTTTCATTGCAAGGAGCATGACATTTGGTTCAGACTTGATGCCTAGCCATTACCCAAGACTCCAGGCGGCTATCCATTGCGATAGGCGGTTGGAGTCACGGGTAGAGACAACCACACGACGGATTCCTCACGGACGCATTCACTGCAAACTTGGCGGAAACAGCGCTGGCGGCGCTCACCGAGTCCAGAACTAAACTTTTCTAAGAACTACCACGTTACAATGGCGACCAGCACAGTCAAGAGACACTACAGGTATGTCAGCTACAACATAATTATATTCTTTCTAAAACGACACCTACCTCAAGCTCAATACCTGACGATCTACTGCAAGCTGATGCGAAAGTGCATTACACCCGCGAACGCCGCGCTTGTCAACGGAACAGGGAAGCGCTTCACTCTCCGAAGTCGAAATGTATTCGGACTGCTGATAGTCAGGAGAACAAACGACCACCATGGCGGCAGAACATTCCGCAGCTGTTCACCGACACGATCTGCTTCACCAAACGACTTACGATCGTTTCGTTCTCCGAGTTTTCTGGTGGCAACAACTAGAATTTCGTCCGCAACAACAGGACGAAAGTCTCTCGCAACTGAAGTCCTGTTGCCACGAAGACAGAGAACATTCCGCACGCCATCTCTTCTGCTTCCAGTGTTGTAGCTCTCCGGTCCACTGGCAGATCTTTCAATCCCAGCTAACAAAAAAAGGATCTGCTTCTCTCTCCAAAACAACAACTAATTTTACTTCGCGAGTGTCCGGGCCGATCGTGTACATAGTGTATGTAGCGCATGCGGCGCACGGCGCACTTTCGCATGACATGACATGCATTTTTGCACAGCGGCTGGCGCTAGAGCGCCCAGCACGGTTGTACTTCGGATTTTGCGATTTTTTTCGACGGCAATGGCTTCCTTTATGAGTTGTCTACCTACGATGTATACTTTGGAAAGCGATATTCCGTACAGAAAGTACCAAAAAATCCATGAAAAGTTGGCCTTTCGATTTTTCGAGCTGGAGGCAAAAAGTGCCTGGCAGGGAGGGGGTGTACAGCTCAGCTGACAGCCTGGCAGGGAGCGCCTTGTCACCTTGAGTGGTCAGCTGGCAGTGAAAGGGTTAAGCATGGTCATATGGGATAAGGCAAGAATTAAAGAGATGTTTTTAAAAACGAATTCAAACTAGGAACGCAGTAAACACAGTTATACAGTACAGGCGGTGCAGATCAATGAGGGCGTTTGCTGAAAAGAAGATCAAAATGCTTCTGAAAAGACGCTGCGTCTTTTAGCATGGCCGGAAGGTGCTTAGCAAATGTAGTGCTGTGCTGGGTGCGCCACTCCACAGGCAAAGAATTAAAGAACAGTGCAGCACGATTTGAAAAGGAATTGACACCGTCAGTCGTCCGGAATTTAGATATTGCAATAGCAGCATTAAAAGAGCTTCTTGTTGTCCTAGGGCCGGTTGAAACTTGAGGGAAAAGGTCCATCAGATTTGGGAGAGGGAAAACGACATGATTAACATGGATAAATTTTGCAATGCTACGAATAAGGTAATGTTCAAATGGATCAATCGACAATCTAGCCAACAGCGGCATGACGTCATCTTGTAGTTTCGAGCCACAAGCAGCGCGTACAGAACGACGATAAACGGACGAGAGTCGCTGTCGGTCCTTGGCGGATAGCTTCATTGCAAAGCAAGAGCAGCAGTATAGTAAGTCAGGCAGGATAACAGAGAGGATAAACTGCCGTGTTGCCTTCAAACTTAGTTGCCGAAAACACCGTCGAAGAGCGCCAACTTTTGTGCAAGTCTTCCTAACGATAAAGTCTATGTGACCAGACCAAGAAACATCACTGTCTACAATGACTCCCAGGATTCTCGTGCTAGACACTTGAGTCAGAGGCTGTTGGTTAAAAACGATTGGAGTTGAGAGGGGTTGAGAAGACTTAGAAATCATCAAAGTTACAGTCTTTGTTGTATTAATGCGCAGCCCAAGCTCGTCTAGATCCATAGAAATTGCAGATAACGAATCAGTAACGGTAGCGACGGCCTCGGCTTGTGTACGTCTGCTGGCATACAACGTCATGTTGTCAGCGAACATCGGGAGCTTGCAAGAAAAGGCCTCTGCTGTCAATGGGAGCTTCCGTACATAGATGTTAAATAGAACTGGACCCAGAATGGTGCCCTGTGGCACGCCTCTAGTGATTGCCACCAACGGAGATGTTCCAGTGTGGGTAACCACCCTCTGTTGTCTGGCACAAAGGTATGATCGGAACCAGGCCAGGGCCGCTCCCGAAATACCGACAGCTGCGAGAGCAAGAAGAAGCTGCTGATGCTTCACCATATCGAACGCTTTTTCAAATCAATACAGACAACCGCCGTATGCAGTCCAGCGTCGCGCTCATACTCACAACACTCGCACCATACACTACGTAAACAACGTAAACAATTTGAGGGTGATAACACTTTCCTTCTGTACACACAACACTGGCTTGTACAAGTGATTGAAGATTGCCTCTAAAACTTTAAGCTGCATAATATGAGTAGACTCGCACGGCACAACACAGTGAAAGAAGAATCCGAGTACGAATGACAACAATCAGGATGACCCACCAAATCCTGTAAACTGCCGATTTCTTCACATCCAACTCCAGGTCACAATCACACCCGACCTCACCAGCCTCATCGCCATCCGCTTCATCCTAAGTATCAACTTCTCCAACTGACTCATCTGAACGCTCCTCCTCTTCTCCCCCATCCACCGACCTCCGTGTTAGCACCTGGTCACCTCCTCCCTACTCCACCGACTCATCATCATGCTCCGCATCCTCCTCTTCGTCCGCTGACCTCCGTGCTCGTTTCCGGTTGCCTACTCCAACCGGCCCCGCAGCCCGCACGCCACCACCACTGAAGAAAACCGTGTAGTCCACAGCTGTACGACGCGGTCGTAAACACATGGATCTGGTCGCCACTGGTCCCGAGATTTTCTGTGGCGAGCCGGCCGTTGGTATCAGATCATTGCATGTTGACTGTGGATCTGCCACATCCACCATGGATGGTTCCACGCCAGGTGCTCTAATAGTTGACGGTTCTGATCGCAACACGAGTGTAGGAGACACCACTGGCAAAGGAACGTTCCTCGGCCTGTCACACCCACTGTGCTGAGGAGCTGATGTAGACATGGGTGCAGTCGAAATGCTGTCAGTCGATTCCGAAGTCTGCTTTGGAGGCTGCACTGGATTCTTTCTAGGCCGGCCGCGTCTAGGTCGCGTAGAGCGCTGGGATTCCGGTAGAATCTTCAATGGTACGTGTTGTTTGATGCGTGTGTACAGGTGTTGAACAGTCCTACCAACATACCGGCTACCACACTGCCGGCAATCAAACTGGTAAACCAGATGGCTAAGTTGGCTCGGCAAACATTAATAGGTTCTTGACCTTTCCAGGGCAGACACAAATAGATAGGGCACCTATCTGGACCAACGGTCGGTTCTTTGTCATTCACCGTGGCATGGAGTATTTTGTTGAGCACATGATCTGGATAACCGTTCTTAATGAAAATTGATTTGAGGAAGTCCAACTCTGCCGACAGTTTGCTCTCAGAGCAAATGCGCTTTGCGCGATCGACAAGGTTGCGAACAAGATTCAATTTGTATTGTGTGGAACAGTATGAATCATAAACTATATACTGTCCTGTGAAGGTTGGCTTGCGGTAGACCGAGGTGACGGTACAAGTATCAGTCTTCTCGACTTGCACATCCAAAAAAGCCAGTTTTCCAGACTGCTCGTGCTCGCAAGTAAATTGCAGGGCAGGATGCAGGTTGTTAAGTAACTCCAGGAACACTTCGCTTTGCTCTTTGTTATCGAAATATGTGAATGAATCATCTACGAACCTTACGTCCAGATCTGGTCACATACACGCTTCAATTCTCGACTCGCAATACGGTATTACCCTACGAAAATGTTGGCTAATACAGGTCCCAGCAGCGACCCCATGGCCACTCCGTCCACTTGCTTATACATTATATCGTTGAAAGAGAATTCCACGCCAAGCGTAACCTGTGTCATCAAACTCCGGAATGCCTCTTCTGGGAGCCAAGGAGTACTAGTATCATCAATGTCGTTATTGTGGTACAAGGCTTGGGCACAAATGTCAATAGTCTCCATGACAGGCACATTAGTGAAGAGACTCACGACATCAAACGAGCACATATGAGTATCCGAAGGTATGGGATTATTGTGAAGCATGTCAACAAAAGCAAACGTGTCCTTTACATTGCGCTTACAAAAATGTTCCTGGACCGGCTGCAGCATGCCACATAACCACTTCGAGATACCATACTGCGGTGAAGCAGTCATCGACAAGATGGGGCGAAGCGGACAAGATGTCTTATGAATCTTAGAGAGTCCATACAATCTCGGTCGTGCAGAACCAATAGGCTTCATTCTCAGGAACTCGGATTTTGTAATTTCCTCCTGCAGTTTGAGTTTCTTAAGATATGATGCTAGGTGTGCTTCCACTGTGGCTGTTCTATCATGCATGGAGACAGGGCCAATAAGCTGGAATTTCGTTGTGTCTTGCAGGATGGTGGCCATTTTGTTAATGTAATCCTCATGGGTTATCAAGACCGTCGCACGGCCTTTATCCGGACGTGTAACAATGATATCGTGGCGATTTAAGAGTTCTCGGCGTGCTTTTAGGTGCTCTTTCGACAATGAGAAGGACTTCAGGTCAGGTGGTTTGTGCGCATGTTCTTCACCGAGCGCTCTGATGGTAGCATCGCATATTGACTTCTGTGCCTCCGAACTTGGGGAGAATTCATGTATCTTGCGATAAAATAATTCAAACTCGGTCATTACTATTTCTCTTTTGTTAGATGAGGGCGGAATGCCGTAGTCAGTGTCGACATATATGAAATGCTTACTGTGCAATTTGTTGTCTTTGTAGCTATATTAAAACTGCTGTTTCCGAAACGCTTGTTCAGATAGTAGTAGTAGTAGTAGTAGTAGTATTTATTATTTTACTAGGGCAATCCCCACAGACTGTGAGTCTTTTTACAGGGTACCCTAGGTAAGTGTGTGGAATAGAGCTGAATGAAGAAAGCCGTAAGTGACTGAAATAGAGTAAAGAAAAAAGAAAACGGTGGCTGCATACTGTGCCATTATGTGTTGCAAAAGAGGCTGCGAAGAGTACTGTTGAACATTGCAAAGGAGGCTGCCTGGCGGCATGCTGCTGGAAGCGATTTCCACCTGTCAGCAGCCAGGTAGGGCAAAGCATAGAAACCATACCGTGACGAAGCATTAGGCAGGGCTAAAGCCGGGGCGGACTGTCCCCTGGTCAAGGCATTGGTATAGTTGCTATTTGATCTAAGTACAAAAAGCTCGGCTAGTAGAGGGCTGCGGCGGCCATGCACACATTGATAGACATTGCAACATATTTTTAGGTTATAGCTTATAACGGATGGCGACAGGAATGATTTTGTGGCGGTGACAAATGGTGGCTGTTGGGTGGCATGGTGGGTAGCCAAATGTAATCCTGAGGCTACGCTTGAAGCATCGAATGAGTGTGTTGTATAGGGTTGCTGATATCGTGTGAACGTAGCAGTTGCTGGCGTACTCCATGGTGGATTGGATAATGCTTAGGTAAAAGGAGCGTTGTGCCTGGGTGGTCATGTGATGTCGTATTCTGTGGAATGCGGCCAGCTTACGGTTGACGTCAGCTACAACTTTCCCGACCTGCTCCTTGAAGGCAAGGTGCTGGTCAACTAGCACTCCAAGGTAACAGACACACTGGGAAGGAGATACTGGGAAGTTACCACAGATGACAGTGAAGGTAGGTGGAACTGGGGTTGTCTTCCGGTGGACGATTAATAGTTGCGTTTTGTCGGGGTTCAGTAGGAAGCCCAGTATCTGCCACCGATACCTCATCCAAAGGGTATCAAACAACATGGGAGTACATACAGAAGATGCCAGTGTAGCGTCAGTGATCTACGTATTGAATTTACGACAGTTGTGCATGTTCTTTGTGAGGATATACTTGCAGTCTAATGTTGGTCATCCTTTCTCACTTTTTTGATCTTTCAGAATATTCACCAGTCTACACTTCAAGATGGAGTCAGCGTACCCTCCGGTTTGCCATACTTTGAGGGTGATTACTGGCCTAACATGGTTGAGCAGATCATCCAGGACATAAGAAAGGAGGAGGAAGAAGAGAAGAAGATTGCAGCTGAGGCCGAGGTGTGCATTGTCTCCAGTGCGGCTTAACAGCTGATTTTTTACATCTTTTTCGAACACTTATAATAAACTCCACCCCAAACCTTTTACCACACTGGGCGGATGTCATTTTGGCATCAGTAGTAGTTCGTCTTGTGACTATTGGCAATTTGAATGGTTCAATGCTGCTGAGATGGTGGAGTGCATGGGATTCATGTGTTTTTAATTGTAACAACTCACCGCTACGGAATTTTGAAGAAACTACCTCATGCGTTGGTTGCTTACGCTTTTCCTGCTGACTTGACCCGTAACTGACTTACGACAACACCATCCAGAGCACATAATGAGTCCACTGAACGGAAAAGTGGGAAAGGTGCACTCTCGAACATTGAGAGCAACGAACTTTCTTAAAATCATCGCCGAAGTTGCTACAACCGATGAGGTATGTTGTTGTGTGCCTGTATATTGCCCAACATGTCAAGCAGAAGAGTGGCAAGAAGGGATGCTCACGGAAGTCTGGCAACAAGAGCGGGCTGCAGAAGAGCAAGCCAGCACAGAAGAGGGATGTCGCTGTGCGTGTGCTGACCCTGGTGGAGAAGCACAAAGATGTAGGTCGCTGTTTTGTGTGTTTCACTCTTTCTTTGCGCTACGTTTCCGGTCTCTCGTTGGCTGCGCTGACAAGTTCGATTACACATGCGTTTCTTCGGGGTGTAAATAGCATAGAAAGATGTTCGCTCCCCCCACCGGAGCTCGCGCTTTTCCACGAACTTTACTTAACTTGTTTGTTCAGTATCATGGTGTATATCATTATGGTACTGGTTTGTGAAATATTGCCTTCGGCTGTTACTCCTTTAGCGAGACCAGTTCTGCTAGTTCTGCTAGTAGCATAATACCTTCTACAGTCCATTCATTGGAAACTGGCACCCTAACTTGTTGGTGTCTCCCGCACATAGTTGTTGGTGTCTCCCGCACATAGTTGTTGGTGTCTCCCGCACATAGTTGTTGGTGTCTCCCGCACATAGTTGTTGGTGTCTCCCGCACATAGTTGTTGGTGTCTCCCGCACATAGTTGTTGGTGTCTCCCGCACATAGTTGTTGGTGTCTCCCGCACATAGTTGTAGATATTGTGAAAACAACAGTACATCCTGCATTGTGTGACCTATGCAATTACTCCTTGCCACATTTGAGGCCAGAAAAGTCCAAGAACAGGGTAAATAGAAATTGGGACAGGTATGCTATGGCAAAATGTATGGAGAAGCAGATCCCAAACCCAGATTTTTGAGATTTAAAGTGTGTTTTTGATCCTCAATTCGGCCCAAATCAAACTTTCAAAAGCCAGCGGGACTGTTTCCAATGAATAGACTGTAGTAACTTAGATCATGCCCTAGTAGTTCCTAGCTCCTTGGAGGTTGCTGGCATTGTGTCCTACCCCTATTTGTTGTATTCGTTGCTGCCACATAATATAATTAGCTTTATTCTTGTTCTCTTTGGCCAGGTGTTCTTCACCATTCGACTGATACCTGCGAACAAGGTTGCGGACCTCGAGCCCATACAGGATGTGGACGAGCTGCGAAGTGGCGATCTGATGGAGGGCCGGGACTCATTTCTTACCTACTGTCGCGAGAACCGTTTTGAGTTTTCGTCTGTGCGCCGCGCGCGGTACACTACGATGTGCATGCTCATTGAGCTGCACGGCCAGTCCAATGTCTTCGGCTACTTCTGCAATAAATGCTCTGCTGCCATTATTGGAAGTCGTTCCCATTGCACAGTGTGTGAGGTAAGTCTGCCGTGGCAAATATTGCTATTGACCAGTGTGTGTGTGTTTCCAGATTTTGTTTGTATCTGTTGTCTCAAGTTCTCTTAGTTCTTCTAGAGTAGACTGTACACAGAGGTACACGATAGAATTTTTATCCACATGAATGTAGCTTCTTCTGTACAACATGCAACACCTGCAGATTGCAGTTTCTTTACTCACCAGTAGTGTCCAAATCTGCCTCCATTCTGTATCCGATTGTTGTTTTGTATGTGTTTGTGCTTTGTACGTGTTTGTGCCTCCTTGTGCTAGGATTATGACCTGTGTTCTAAGTGCTATCAGGAACACGGCCATGATCACCCGATGGAGCAGATCCACAACATGGTCGGTGGTGATGAAAGCTTTGAAGGTGCCACGGGAAAATCTCAGCAACCTAAGAACCAGCGCTGCTACATCAAGCGGTGTCTGGACAGTCTTGTTCATGCGTGCCAATGCTCAGCCCCCGAAGGAACCTGTAGCGAACCGAGTTGTGGCAAAATGAAGAGAGTAGTTGTCCATATCCGCACTTGCAAGCTCAAGTCTAATGGAAACTGTCAAATATGCCGTCAGCTCCTGCTTCTATGTTGCTATCACGCTAAGCACTGCAAATCCTCACCATGTCCAGTGCCGCTTTGTACGAATTTCAAGCAACGAAAACAGCAGCGAGCAATGAAGGGCCGGCATATGCAGAATATACTTATGCAGCGCCGGATGGCAGCCATGAACATGGGTGACAGCAGTGCACCCGCAATTCTGCAGCAGCAGCAGCAGCAACAGTAGCAGACTCCTGCTGAATCTAGTGCTGGCAACAATACAGCGAGTGAGATTGGGAAGCGTATGGCTACCCCAGATCAGGTATCTACACCGAGTTCCAATCAACTGAGGTCCAACCACAGTGGTTATCTGGTAATATCCAGCAGTCCCTAGCTGTCACATCTATGCAGAGTCTGCCGTCTGCAGCGTCTTTATTGCAGCCGCCTAACAGTGCATCGCCAACTCTTGCAGCCAGTAGCCAGCAGTTTAATGCTGCAGCTGCTGCCATGGGCCTGAATCCAGCAGCTGCTCAGCATACCGGTCAAAGTTCTGCTGCTAACTCTCAGCTGATGCGCATTATAATGAATGACAGCAAGGCGCTCAGTCCCCAGCAGCAGCAACAGCTTCAACGCCAACGTATGCACCAAATGCAAATGCAGGCACTGGCATCAAAGACGCAACAGCAGGCGAAGCAACATCAACAGCAACAGCAGCAGCAACAGCAACAGCAGCGGGGAGATCTCAACCGTCAGCAGCTGGTGGAGGCAGACCGTCAGCAAAAGTTAGCGCTCATGCTTCGAAATATTCAGTCCCAACCTGGTGTCGCTACTCAGGGCGCTGCGAACAACGGAACGCTGGGCGGTGCGCAGGCCGAGTTTCCTTCTCAGCAAGCAGTTCAAGAGTACTCCAAGTCACATCATCTACCTGCCAATCAAGCCAGGGCCATGCTTATTAGCTACATTCGAAAGAAGCAGCAGAAACGTCTTTAGCAGCAACAAAAGCAGTACCAACAGCTAATGCAGCAAAGGCAACAGGCAACATCAGATCAGCAGTCACTTCAGCAGCAGCAGCAGCAGATGTCGCTTGCCCAGCAAGCTAATGCTGTTACTGACAAACTGCAGCAGTTCCAGCTGCAACTGCAACAGCAGCAACAGCCAGCCACACAGCAACTGCAACACCTTCGGCAGATTCAACAATTGCAGCTTCAACAGCAGCACAAACAGCAATTGCAGGCTACCAGTGAACAGCAACAGCAGCAATTACAGCAGATGCAGCAGATCCAACAACTCCAAGAGCAGCAGCAGCGACAGCAGCATGAGCAGTCGCAGGCACTTCAGCAACAGCAGCAAGCTCTGAGTGCTGCTGCTTCTGGCCACGCTGCTTCCAGTCTGTCTTCCGATTCTGGAATCGCAGATGTTGCCCTTGGAATGCCATCGTCGGCTAGCTCAGCCAATGTTCTGCAGCAAATGGCAAATAGCACATCTCCACCAGCTGCGAACAACATCTTATCGAATGCATCTGCCGGTGCGCTAAAGTCCTCGCCATCACCAGTTGGATCTCTAGCTGGCCTACCTAGTACTATGCAGCCTTCACCAAGCATGATGCCATCTGAACTTGGTGGCTTTGAGAAGCTGCTGTCGGATCCCATGATGACCAGTTCGCCATCGCTGTCGGGTTATAACAGTTTGCCGTCAATGGTAAACCCTGTTGATGATGTCCTGGCCGATCCATGCTCTTCATCTGGTGATAAGCTGGAGCATCTGATCAACACTCTGTAACTCTGTCGTCTGTCTTGAGGAGAACACTATGCCTGTCAATATATCCTACAAGTGACCCACTATATACGCATAAGAACTACGCTGACGTTTGCTCTGAATTCACCGGGGCTTGTGTCTACGTGTGCCTATGCATGCAGTGCCGTGAATACGAAACCATACATTTTCGCCACACTGGTGCTAACATTGAGTGTCATTCTATTGTCCGGTTTTTTTTATCCCCGTTTTCAGATTCACCTTAGGTGGGCGAGTCTGCCCTCTTTATGTTGTCTCCTTGCGTGCTATTGACTATCCTGTTTTGCTGTCTTTTTAACGCCTGAGTGAAACTGTTGCTTTAGTCAAGAACTCACACTTAAACCTTTTTTTGGGTTTTAAACTTCGCCCTTTTAAACATGCACATTTTTGTGTGAACCCTGCCTGTGTGGCCACGGCTTTAGAGGTTTTATTTTCAACATTGATGCCCAACTGATTTTTTCATCTTGTCTCATATCTTCTCAACTGTACATAGCTGCCAGTAGGTGGGTGTTATTTGTGTCGTTTTGCCCTATGAAAATTACTTACTCGATGACTATGATTTGAATCTATTTTCTGCTTAAATTGTCTTGCTCTCGTCATGTGTTCAGGCGGTGTATTATATTGCCTGGCTGGTGTGCTGATCGTGTGATGCTATGCTGTATGTCTTGCTGGCCGGATATCCTCCATCATCCGCATTGTCGCTGAAATCTATTGCACACCTGCACTGCCGTTGTGTGCGTGTGTACCTTCTAACATCCCGTGGTATGTATGGATTACTGCCTGAGTGCGAGCGAGTACAACGGTAATACTGGCTAATAAAATGATTGAACGGCATCAGCCGTGACGTCATGTATCAAGCCGGTATTGCCCATTAACGAGTGAGATTACAAGTTGCAGTAAATCGTTACATATTATTTTTATTGCATGCTTGACACCCTTACATACAGATGAGCATTGCAATTCCCATTCTTGCACTTCTTTGACCTGGACTTGGGGTTGGGTTCGTTGAGAAATGTACGTTTGAGGCTTTGAGCTCTGATTTCTTCACTATTACTGTTACACTCGTACATTTCATTTCTTGTTATGCCGATTGTGGTTTCGATGCTGGATACTTCAATATTGGAAAATTATTCTCTTTTAACTTAGGTGTGTTGGAATGATGGCACAGCTCATTGATGCCTATCATTGATGCCTATCATTTACCTTCCGTATATTTTCACGGTGCCAGATCTACGAACCTTTGGTCGACGAAAGCTGTTGCAGGCCGACCCACATTAGGGGTCGTCGCAAAGGTTTTTGTCATCCGGATATCCCTGAAACAAGCATCGTTCTTTTCGTACCCGGCCCCTAGGGGCCGGGATTCCGGGTACGAAAAGAACGATGGCCCTCCCCTGCTTCTGAGACGAGCGCAGCTTGCTTTGCTGGGGGGGGGGGGGGGGGTGACGACGAAAATCTCATGCGTGTACAGGACATGATTTACAGTGTCGGACAGTCAGGTTGCAATATTCAATGACACATAGACATATTCATAAATGACATATCTTCAATACCCATGAGCTACATTGTATAATATTATGATGAAAAAATTATCATAATTATATCATCGTTCTAGCTCAATTTGTTCCCTGTCATAGTCCTGTTTATCATGTTCAGCATAAGCAACGTTGTGAATCATGCTTGCATGGTTGACTCCAACGCGCACATGCAAGCAATAATAATAATAATAAATTCGACTTTCCAAAATACCCCCGCATCTTTTAACAATTTGACAGATTCCGACGGGGTAGCTCCACTAGGAACCAACTCTCCCTTCCTCTGGCCCGCTCTTCTGCATTGATACACCCCCCCCCCCCTTTCAATGGCTATTTGCATTGGCTTTTGCTGCACCAGGAGACAAAGGGCCTTTCTACTTTAACAGCATTCGGGATTCGGGAACGCCTTGCTTTACCAGTAGACCACAATTTTAGTCCATATTTGCTTCTTTCTTCTTTTTCTTTTTGACTTCTGACTCTTTTCCTTGTTAGCCGTGGTTGGCTATAAAAACCCTGCAATCGCCACGCAAAGTGGTCATTGGCTACCCCAGTCGCATACCGTAAAGTCGCGGATAAAAGCCGGGCTTATAAGTACATAAGCCGCTTTCTGCATCAGGCTTCAATGCAAACCAGGCTTGTATGCAAACCATGCTTATATGCACCACTGATATTTTTGCCAGGCTTGTACGCACATCGGCCGATCCGGGCTTGCATAGAAGCCAGGCTTCTACGCGCGACAGGCTTATATGCATTGACCTGTTTGATTTTCAAGCTTCTATCCACGATGTGCTTGTATGCAAACCCGGCTTTTATCCGCGACTTTGCGGTATGTGTTGCTTGGAATAAAATAAATAAATGTCACGTGATGCGAAGTTCTGCCGTCGCAGAGAGACGCAGACCCCATGGGCCATAGCTGGAGTTGCACACTCTTGGGGGTTACTCTTGCCGTCTTGGTGTTACGTGTGTACTTTTTTGTCAGCATGACTGAACAGTGCATGGCATGTACATGTCCATGACCTCAGTACTTCACTGTCTTCAGTAGCTTATCAGTCATGTGCACTGGCTACAGTGATGGAGAGTTACTCTTAACTCGTAACCATAATAATTGTGTCCCTTTTTCCACAACAGTAGTACAGTGTTAGTACTCTGCATTAAAAGTTTTTTTTTTACAATTGTCAAGTGATTTCGCGAAATGGTTACCAAGTAAGAACACGAAACGTAAGAAAAAGGCCCAACCCAGCCCTACCTGTTATGTGGGCTTACGGGGGTCACCATTGCAAAATTGATAATTATAACAATAAACAATGAAAAAACGTTGTAACGATACCAATGGATTTGTGTGAAATGCAGTGCTCTCTTGAGTGTAGGCAGGTTGCCTGCAAACGATTCAAATGAAAAAAAAACCAATGAAAATCAATCACAAACAGGAAGCTGTCTCGAGGTCAGATGATAGTCATTGACCGCTAGAGCCAATGATTCCGCTATTGTTGGTTTGACCGTATGGTGTCTACTGAAATTGTTCTCCGCAAATATCATCTCTATTCTTTTGAACAGCGCATAAATCTTAAACTCTATGTTTTCGTGTACCGCTGCTTGACCCCACATCTTGCTAGGCCCCTTCTCCAATCCTTGTTCCAGCTTAGGGCTGCTGTGCCTGGACGCCAGGCTGTTGTTGCTGTAGAAGTTTATTTAACGTCGCACCACAAACAGGCGATTTCGCCTCCTTTGATACATGTGGACGACAAAAGGAATGAGAGAGGGGGGGGGGGGCGGAAGTACGGAGAGAGGAAGGGTAGAAATAAATAAGCAAATCTACCTCAGGGCTACACCAAAGCAAAAACGGAATGGTAACATACTATACAAAATAGCTTCATACATATATTGCAAAACACGTTTACTATTCTTCAGTCCGCTCTACCACAGAAACACACTAGCCGAAAAGCATTTAAACGGAACCATGATGCGCTTTTAGCAGGGCACAGAACTGAAGGTGGCTGGGCTCGGAACGGAGATCAGGCGGGAGCTGGTTCCACAGGACTGCGCCGATGAACTGCATGGTTCGCTCGACCCGCAGGACCGGGCCAAAATGGTACTCGAACGAGGTGATGTGCTGCTCCCCGAGTGCGGTCACCAGTAACTCTCACGAAGAAGCTGGTGAAGAGGGAGCTAGCTCGGGAGAACAGACAACGACGGACAAAGAGCTTAATGTTAAACATGTCCTCCAGGGTGGTGAGGCGGAGCTGTTCAAAGATCGGGCTCGTGCGCGACCACGGTGGCAGACCGAAGAAGCCGCGGATAGCGCACTTCGTTAGACGTGTGAGGGGCTCCATGTTGCCAATTTGAAGTGGCGGATAAAAGGCGTTGGAAGCGTACGACAACCTTCCCTGGATCATCGACCTGTAAAACAGGATCTTTGACGCCAGGGTGAGGCTTCGGCGGCTCCGCCACAGTGCACCTACTGACTTCCGCACCTGCTGGACTGTGTGATTGACGTGAGGCTCCCAGGAGAGCTGCCCATCTACCATTACGCCCAGGTACCGCGTTCCACAACTGCAAGGGCTGCATTCCCACAGCGAATTCGAATGTTATCTGTGTCAGGGGCTGGGCCTCTTGGGGTAATCAACAGAGCTTGCGTTTTCTTTTGGTCCAGCATTAGTCCGCGGTCCTCCAACCACTGCAACAGGCCAGTGATGGCTGTGCGTAGAGAAAAGCACACTTGTTCGCAACTGCCCGAGGCTTCAATTGCAATGTCGCCTGCAAATTCCTGGTTTGTGACCTGCTGGGGCAAGCAGCATCGAAGGTTACGGATGTATAGTGTGAACAGGAGGGGGCCGAGGACGGACCTTGCGGCACCCCTCGACTGCATGCGACGTATTCCGAGCAATTTCCGCCCACAACTACGCGTTGAAGCCGCTCACTCAGGTAACTAGTGAACCATATCTGGACAGTACCGCCGACCCCAATGTCAGATAGCTCCTGTGCCAAGATGGTGTGTTTGACACAGTCGAAAGCCTTAGACATATCCACGAATATCACACCTGTGAGTTTGCGCTCATACTTCGCTTTCAGCCAGCGATTGACAGGTAGCACAAGAGCGTCCTCCGTACTGTGGTTCTTCCTGTACGCGAACTGCGAGTCAGGGAGAATACTGTGATCGGTCAGAAAGGATGTAAGCTGAGCTTTGACGATCTTCTCGAGGAGGCGAGAAACGACTGGTAGTAGAGAAATAGGTCGATACGCAGTAGGCTGACAAGGGTCCAGGCCGCCACCTTTGAATAGCGGCGACACATTAGCAATTTTAAACTGATGGGGAACACACCCCTGACATAGCGAAGTATTGAAAATCATGGTGAGCGAGGGAGCCAGTATTGATGCCGAGTTTCTAAGGACAATACCCGGCAAGTCAACATGTCCAGTCGCTTTTGACGTGTCAACGGACTGGAGAAGGGCCGTAATGTCCTCCGTCGAAACAGGCGCAAATTCCATGAATGCTGGTGCTTCACGTTCGGATGGTGCGTTGGCGCACAGCGTGTCTGGTCGTCCAGGGTCATGTCCAACTTCGCCAAAAGTTCGGGAGAGGATTCCAACAGGTATTTGTGGTGGGCTTGAACTTTTCGCTCGTCCAGTCACCATGTTTATCGTATTCCAGAGCTTCCGTCCATCCTTTCCGGCCGACTGTAGGCGAGCTTGAAAATACTGATCCTTTAGCCTCCGATCTAGCTTGCGAGCGGCTGCGCGGAGAGTGCGGTGTTGCTCTCGCAGGCGGACATCGTTTGGAGAGCGTGAAAGAAGTCGGTGGGCCTTGTTTCGTTGACGCACAGCAGATACAAGTTCAGGACACAACCATGGGCAAGGTCGGCGCCTCGGCTTACGAGGAGGTTGTAAGGGGGCGTGACGATCTAGAGCAGTAAAACCTTTGCGTACCATTCGCTTATCATTGCATCAACATCATTCGACTTGCTGAAAATCTCAAGCTTGCAGTCCTGCAAGTCAGCGTTAAAGTGCTCCCAGTTTATCCGCCACACTCGCCTCTTTCGAGATGCGACTCGTTCAGACTGCCGGGTGGCGACGATAATGTTGGCCACAAATGCGTAGTGGTCGCTGATGTCACACTTGATGACCGTGCACGTTCCAACTAGAGAGTTAGGGGCGAGGAGCAGATCTATTAGGGTGGAAGTTGATGCCGTTACTCTTGTCGGTGTCCGGATGTGGTTTTCCAGATCAAACCGCTGGAGCATGGTGTGCATCCGGCTGTGTCCCGAGCACATGTCCACATTGAAGTCACCAATGGCGACCACGCGG